TATTTTTGTATAATAGAGTAAAGCAACGCAACACATTGGCGACTTGCCAAGGGAAGGGTGCCTCGTGGGAGGATTTTTCTATTGTAAACTGGCCTCTATTTAGGTTAGGCACGTGAAGAAAAGACGAAAACTCTGGTCTGATGGCTGAGCGATTGAGGTAATAACCTACGGCTTTGGGGATCCGGTATCGAATCCGAACAGGATGAAAAAACTAAGAATTTTTTCGATATGTGGCGCTTCGCCCCTTATACTCTGCCGCCCATTGTGGGCCTGGCCGAACACATAACGGGCTTGCTAAAAAAGCTCTCCTAGTAATCAAAGTTTTAAGAAAATACCCGAAAAATCCACACGTCTAGCCCCTTTGGCGAGCGACCAATTAGCTGTAGTGTTTTATCCAATCGGCTGCTAATGGGGTCTTTTATTTTTGGCAATATTCATAAAAAATTTTTAAAAGTTTATTTAGTAAAGGGATAATTTTGGGATTAAACATAAGAAGTTTTAAATTTAGATATAAGAGGTAAAAGCACATACAGAACGGATAGGTAGATAATAATTAGAGTATAATTTAATTGTTTTCTCTATGTATATCACAAACACATGAGATAAATTCAAAATATTTTCTACAGATCCTCTAAATGAAAACTTTACAGAATTGTAGTTTACATTATCTTTAATCGATCCATGACGAAAATATTTGCTTCCATACATCACAAGCTTGATTAAATTCGATTTATTGAGTTATAATCAATTATTAAAAGCTCGTAGATATTAAAAAAATACATGAAATTAATATAAAATCTATTCGATTTTGTAAATTATAACAATTTAGTAAGATTATCTACAACATCAAGTAGAAAAATAGCATCGATCTAGAACATCTCACATCTTTTTCTTCTTGGTAAATCCCACTTAGTCATCCAAAACAGGAAATGAGTCAGATAGATTTTTATCGCGATTTTGATATATATAAACAAAGAAATTCTATTTCATTAAGCAGACAATTTATCAAAGTAAAGAGAAATAAGATTAGAAATGCATTTATACAATTAAAATTTCGAATTAATTGTATTTTCCTACAGTCCACTTTCTTCGTTTCCTGTATAAGTATACCTTTTTAAAATTCTTTCGTCGCTTTGTAAGTTTATGGAAAAATAATTAAATAAATAAATTTAATTTTCTAATCATATAATTGCAATTTTAGATATTTTATCTTATTTTTATGTCTGTATTTTTTATTGTAAAAACAACTAAATTGTTCTATTTTAGTACCAAGAGAGTTACTTATTTTTTACTTCTCTCTCTTGACAATTCTAATGTGTCAACTCCTATTTATTTAATATAAATTATATATTCAAATTCCGTATTAAATTAACATTGTATTAACAATTCCTGTAATTAGAAATAATCTATATTTCTAATTAATCATTTATTTGATTTGTATAAAAATATGCATTATACTACTGAAAGTAACGTTAGTGCATTTTCGCAGTGCTCAGTTGTTCGTCTGGGAAGCATAATGCAAAGGGCAGCTTCCAAAGTAGCATCAGTTGCTATCTTTGGAATCATATAACTAGTAATTTATATAGTAATTTATTATTTACGGATATGTGTGGGGGAGCACGATTTTGTTCACCCTCTTTGAAGCTTCATAACTCCTGTGTTTTTTTGTCAAACATTAAGACACAATAAAGAACAATAAAAATACTTAATTTTAGCTATGTCTTCAGAATTTACATTATTTCATATTTTGGATTCCTATTAAAGGACATTTGATCTTTTATTAATTTCCCGGCTGTTATATATAACAGAGGGAAAGTAAGGCGATGATCAAAAATGATCCTCTACAGATTTTTACATTTTTGGACTCGGGAGACCTTGGAACTTCGAAAAATGCCAAAAACATCGGTGATTTTTCTGTATGTATGGATATGTGTGCGGGGAAGCACGATTTTGTTCACCCTCTTTGAAGCTTCATAACTCCTGTGTTTTTGTCAAAAATTTTTGAAATTTTGCAGGTTTGTTTATTAGGGGATCGATGCTACTAAATTTTGATAGTTAAAGGTCGAGGGGTGAGGAGATAAAGAGGGTCTTGTGTGTGTACCTCCAATAAGATCGGACTTAATGACGATTTTACTCGTTATTAGCATTTACAAATTTTTATAAAACCCATCCCTATCCTCAAAATTAAGCATTTTGCCATTTTATAATAATTAAAAATATAGAAAGTTATTATAACAAAACCTCGTAACAGATGACGCACACACAATTTTATTTATTTATTACGATTAATAATATAAAAGTTACTTTTTAAATAGGATGTCATAATAGCCGGAAAAGTTAAGCAATTAGTTGTTAGATTTTTTACAATAACAATGACAATAACAATTTACTTAGTCAATACAAAAAAAAAAATAGGAATTTATATGTGAACGAAAAAATTCGCGATTATTATAGTAATCAACTCGCAAAAACATTAACGTAAACATACGTATAAGACTTAAATCTACACCTTATACTAAATAGGGCCCAAAACTATGAGATGAATTAGTATATTTCGAAAATTAAAAAGGGAGAAGAAAAAAGATGGCAACATTTATGCCTTTTTGAAATTTCTGTCCGTTTTCGGAGAGGAATAAAAAATCGTAGACAAGGAAGCTCAGGTAAACCCTTTTTGAGTTCCTGAGCTTCCTTCTCCTTTCTTATATAAAATAATAATAATCATAATTCACACCAAAATTCGAACAGTACCTAGTAACCACGTGCTAATTAGTTTATCCATTGTCTATAGGCTTTCCACGTTGACTATCCGAATTAGACACACACAAAGAACCGAAAAACTAATTTTTTAGAAAATATCTTTAAGTTAAAATCCAGTATCAATCATATGACGCGTCATTGTCGTTATTTAGTGTAATATATCCTCGATGGAGATAGATTGTCCGCTCCTACCCTCACCTATCCTCTCCCCTCAAAAGGCACTCTCGCTAACTCTTTAGGACCGACCAATCACGTGACCTCCCCGGAAGTGCTTCCTGAGACCAACCACCACCAACCGACAAGAGTAAAGAGATAGAACAAAGCCCGGGAGTAGCCGATTTTAGAAAAGGGAAAGGTTTAAGAAGTGACAGAAATAAATAATTAAATATATAAATAGAAAACATGGCTTAATCAAGACACAATGGAAATTGAGTTTTGAGCAGGAAATGTGGATCAATGTGTTCGGAACGTATGACAGAGGTTGGAAAGTGGAATTGAAACGTATCATTGCGTTTCAATTCATTTCCATTACCATTCCTCAAGTGTCCACCAGATAAACCCACTGGATATGGGTTTGCCCCTTACCAACGGGACGAACACGCTGAGTTTTCAGAGTTTTTTTTTTTTTTTTTTTTTTCTAAATACAGGCCAGTTTCCCACAGAAAGTCCTCCAGGGAGGGACACTCCTTAAATTTTGCGTTATCCCGTTCTCTGCATAACTCCTATTCACCAATCCCATCCAAAAAAATAAACAATATAACTTTTAAAGGAACAAAAACATTTAAAAAATTCCTTTAATTAAATGCTATGTTATATTGATCTGCTAGGTATGGAAAAAACGCGGTTTTTGTGCTCTTTGAGCACTAAAAGCATCATTTTTCGTTACTTACGTTGGTGCAATCTGACTAGCCGCTGCATATGTAAAGGTCTACTGCCAAGTAAATTTGCACGACTGCCCCAATAAATAATATTTGAGTGTACCTATCTGTAAATACCATTAAACACGCATGTTTTCGTGTGCCTTGGCGGTACATTACGTGATATAGAGAAGATTAGCATACTTATCATATATTTGAACTACCATCCCTCATTCTCTACAACGCCAAAATTATATAACACATATCCTCGATAGACTCCATTAATTACATTAACGAAAAACGGAGTACCGAACATTACATTATTTTATTAATTACGTGTATAATGTGCAAACCAGTGACATAAACAGTACAGTTCGCTAAGCAACACTTCGAAACAAAAACGAATTATTCTGTTAATCAAGGGTTGAAACCCTGGTATTACGTAACATTTTTATAAGCACTCCTCCCATAGGTTTGGTTTTAATGGAATAAAAAAATGCAACATACGGATGATCTGCCTTTCCTGCAGGAAGGATTTTCTATGAGAAATTGTTTAGTTGTTAGACATGTGAAAAAAACTCGGTAAATTTCAGTAGCAGAGTGGATAAAACCACGACACTAACGATTGGTCATAAGTTCGCATTTGACCAACGGGTTGGCCACGTGAATGTTTCTGGGGTTTCTTCGCGTGTCTAACATCTAAATAGGGGACATTCTCAAAGTCCTCCCGAGAGGCATTTTCTTCTCGGCAGATGCCTATATGTTGCGTTGCCTTCTACCATAAATCCAATCCACACGGCCGCTTGTTAACGAGACTCGAACCCACGACCAACAAGTATTCTTCGGCGGTTTCATCTACACGGTATTATTTTAAAATCTAAATAGAGAATTTGCTATTTGTAATTAATTTTTTGTAACCAATCAATCAAATACAGTCGACCCCCTATAACACTGTTGATAATTCCGTTTTATATGAATTCCATGTTGTACGAGTTACTTATATTTTACAAATACGTGTGCCGGGCTGTGAACGGCTCACGTATTTGTAAAATCTAAGTGACTCGTACAACATGGAATTCATATAAAACGGAATAATCAACAGTGTTATAGGGGGGTCGAATTGCACTATACACACGCGGCGCTTTATTAAAAAATTTCGTCACATTTAAATTAAAATATTTAAAAATTTGAAATATAATTTAACAGAAAAATTATTAAGCCAATACGTTATTTTAATAATTTACATTTAGTTTAAAGTTATAATATATTACGTACTTTATGTATTTTAAAGTATAAAAGATTCAACAAAAAATAAATAAATAAAAAATAAACAGAGAGGGCGTTGCATTCGATTAGTGTGTGTAAGCAGAAGATTTGTCAGCCGAAACGTTTTGACAGAAGCATTACTGCGCATATTCAGAAATTATTTCATATACGCGCATGCTCGCTACACTTGCTGTATTGGCGTAGAAGTTGTTGATGTTCGATGTCGGAAATAAGCAAAAATTACGATATGCGTTAAAATATCCGGTCGAAATTATTCGAAATCGATCCTTCGAGTAATTTTTACAATTAAATATCGCAATTTTTGTAAATTATAAAGTAATTAAGCCGTATAAAAACTAAGCCTAACAAACATGGATCTGTTATCGGGATTCTGGAAAGTCGGAGCCAAGGCTAAAACCATGCTTAATTTAGAAGGTAAACAGGAAGAAAATAACGAGAAACAGAGCGTAGAAGATGCAACGGGACCCGCAACGGTGTCGGAAGAAGAGATAAAACCTAAAATTGATAGCGAGAAGGAATCTGAAGAGCAGACTACTGCGGTTGCTGGTAGCTCTCCCGAGAGCGAAGGACCAGATTCGATTCGAAGCTCTCCAGCAACGTCGCCAGAAGCTGCCAATAAGTCTCCGCAGATCGGAGAAGCTACAGAACAATCTGCAGAAGCACCCGCTGCAAACGTCGACCTGAAAGATGTCTCTCACAAAGCTGTTGAATCTGCTAAATCCATAGGAAGTAAGTAAGTCCGAAATGTGAAGAAATGGCATTTAAAAATGGAAGTCTCTTTGTTTGTTTAAATGTATAATTGATTAATATTGCAAAATACTCGAATTTTTATTTGAAGGTGGGATGTCGATTCTGAATGAGAGGTTTTCCACTCCCTATCGTTATCCGCGCGAGCAAAAGAGTCGAAGGAACTGTCCCCGTACGTGCAACCCTCAGCCAGATGTCTGCTTCTGAAAGTCTGTTTTTGTTGCCAACCAGTATGCCGTATATTCTTTGTGCTCCGTGTGCAGTCATGCACTTTGGTGCGAATGACGGAGGGCACCTCGGCACTTGCGCCCCTAAAACTACATAATGTTGAGTACTTCAAATGGTCGAGTGGGCCACTCAAAGCTGGCAAGGTCCTCCGGGCTGAATAGTTAAACATGATGATGTCGGAAGAGCCTGTTTTGGGGAGCCGAGGGTTGCGTGTAGAGGTGCGGTTCCTTTGACTTTTTTTGCTCCTGTGGGTGTGGTCTACGACTCTGAGATTTCGACCATCTCATTCGAAGGTATAATCTTACCTCAAATTTTTTTTTTCAAAAACTGTTTCATTTTGAGAAAAATTATATAAATGAAGACACTTTCTTAGAAAGTAAAAATTAATTATTGGAGTATAGTTTATGAAAGTTCATAAAATATGTTCCAATAGTACAGTTTTTGCTTTGGTTTATTTAATTTTTCAAGAACATTTAGTGGAAATTAAAATGTAAATATTGTTTCAATAATATTGGGTATGTTCCAGTATTCATTGGTCTTGTTAGTTTAGTAAGGCGGATAGTTTAATAAGGTTTTACTGGATAGTATCAGCCTAACAACATGGTGGAAGCAAACTACTATACTGGAATTTGTAGAATTATTTTGTCACAATAACTTTGTTTTAATATAGAAATATGAATAGTAGAAATTTCTACTACAAATAGTATAAATTTCATCATCATTTCTACTATGAATTGTAGAAATGATGATAATACTGAACATATTGTTTCATCAGAGCTTACTGTATTTACAGCTCAATGAGTGTGATGTGCATTGGTCGCTGCACCAATGAATTCACCAGTAAATATTGGAACATGGTATGGCATGGTTTGCCGATGCACTCTGATGCATACTGGAATGTGCCTGTTGCTATTGTGCACTGTCCAGAATTATGATCTAAAAAATGCCAGTATCCAAGATATTTAAAAATTAAGTAAGAAATAGAAAAAAATGTAAATTTTAACATTTTTTAAAATAAACAAACCATTAAAATCCAGCATTAGTAGTTAGTAAATAAATGTTTTCAGCTTTGCTAGTAGCTATCTGGTTCAAATATAGATGTTTGAAAGCATTAATGTCATAGGCTATGTAATAAATGTAAAAATTTATGCTGCTGGATTTTAAAGATTTGTTTTTACTATTTCATTCAGTTGTGTGTTTTATCAAGATGATTTTTAAAATATTGTTATGTATTATATTTCAACAATAATAATACTGTAGGTAAGTTTCTATTTGTAATAGAAATTCATTTACACATGATACATTCATGTATTCCAGATAGGTCTCAAGAAGAATTAAGTTGCTAGCCAATAAAGTTTAGGAAAAATGCATTTATTAACAATGCTTAAATTTATTTGAATGGCTTAGATGGGTTCCTGTGTGTGTTAGAGAGAATAAAGATTATTCCGAAAAATAATGCATTTGAATTTATTGAAAGTGCGTGAGAAATAAATGAGTAGGATTTACACGTAATCATTTTTTATAGCAATAAGACGGTTAATATCTACTTTATGTTTTGTTTTGAAAGCTCCACAGATGTGTAATTAGATAAAAAAGATTGCTTTTCTGCAGAAAAAAATGAATGTGTCATATTATTTTTTTCCCTTTGGAAAAAAGAAGTGTTTTGGTTGTAATCTAATTGTGAGATTTCAAAATATTTTGCACTCTAGTTATTAAAACTATTGTGTTTTGTTTAAATGTCAAATGTAATATTTGTTGATGATTTAAATTTTATTAGCCTCTAACACCTGTTGAAATTGGAATTATTTATTGTTGCTTTTCTGACAGATCAATAAATGTTCAAAACATATTAAAATACATTTATAAAAATATATTTAAAATTGATCGATGCGAGATTATAGCATTTATATTATAGATTACATGGATTGAGCATTGCAGGGTTGCATGCAGCTATAACTTTTAATGCATAAACTTATATTTTAATTTTGATAAGATAAATTACAGCAAATTATACTGCATATGCTGTTTAGTTTATATATATACATTTATATGATTATATTGTACACTGTATACATTTATATGATTGATTTTTTTTACTATATCAGTACAATCACATTATCGTCGTCATGCCAATTGCATAAAATTTTTGCAAGTCAGATATGCGCAATGAATGTTAAATGTGTAATTATTCTTTTGCATTCCTATGTAAAAGAATAATTATATATTTTTCTAATAAGATAATGATCAACAGCACCATATTATATTTCATGTTTCAGTTATTTCAAGGAAAGTTGCAGTTTTATGGAGCAAAATAAAATATATATATGATCCTAAATTTTCCAGTTTAACCATTTTATACATACAGTAATTAAGGACTTGCATAAACTGGTAATGTTAAGCAGAGTAAACAAACTAAGATTATTAGAAATTCTGGTTTTGTTGACTTTGACATTAAAAGGATATCTTACACAATTTAAAATGTATAAATTTAAGATTAATTACAATAATTAATGCATGTATTGTATCAATATTGTTTGCTTGCCACTGCTTTTAACAATACCTACCACATAATTGAAGTAAGAAATGTGAATAATTTAAACAACTGTAAACACACAAAATACCTTATTTTAACACCAGCAGGGTTTTAATTTTCATGTGGACAAATGTTTTTGACCTAATTGTAGATGTGCTTCAGGTCTTAAACTCTTTGCTCTATTTTGGAACTTGAAGGAGAACAATATACAGCATGTCCAAGAAAGATCTTTATCATTCTGAACATTAATAACAAAAATACTAACAGGTAAAATAAAATGCAGTTTGCTGCAAAAGAATGAAGAAATCTAAAGAGTTTTTTTTTACAGTACCTTTAATGTAGCTGTACGTGAGCTTCGTTAGTAGCACGAAGAATGTTGAGTCTGTACTCAATTTCCCTCCAAGTGTTTTTTAACATTTGCAGAGTAATAGTGAGGATTGCTAATTGTATCCTTTCCTTTAAAACGGATATATCAGAAACAGGTGTTTGATAAACCCTGTCTTTAACATAATCCCAATAAAAGAAATCCAGTGGAGTTAAGTCAGGCAATTGCAGAGGCCAAGTTATGGGTCCTTATCACAACTGGCAAGCAACTTGCGCCATCAATTACTTCAGGTAATTGATACCAGAAAAAACTCTTAGATTTCTTCATTCTTTTGTATAGATATTTACAAATTTAAATGGATATTACATAAAACTTATATATATGAATTTATATATGCTTTCTTAATTAATGAAATCTATTTTCTTAGGTCCTATTCGTATCATTATCATAAATGTTTACCATGCACTTGAAACCTTTCCCCCCCCCTCAAAATTAAGGCATTACCCTCTTGATCCTGCATTGTAAATCTCCAGAGCTTCCAGTATATAGTGTCTGATGAGACTAGGTTATTCCAAGTTTGGTTTCACTCCTGTTTCAAAGTCATATATGGACAGAATGTTGGTTTGTTTCTTCTTTTCTCTGTCGTATTTGTGTTCAGTCAGTGATCTGTTAATGTATCCAATGTATACTGGGTCTTAATTGTTTCCCTGATCCTATGTGCTCATTTTATTCATGGGATCTTCACAGTTATATAGTAGCTTATATATTGATGAATTTTTTGTGTATGTGATTACATAATTTAAGTGCAAGTAACAATTAAAATGCTTGTTTAATATTTAAAGTATTGGTTAAGACTTAACATACAATCATTATAAACCACATATTAAGGCTGATAAGGTGAAAAGAGAGCCTAAAAATACACTTGTTTACCTAATGACAATAATCACACTGATTTATAATGAACTAGCTGGGGTACCCAGCTTCACTCAGGGAGTTGATATGAGATTGTGTGGTAATTGGAATAAAAAGATAAACTTTAAAATATAAGAGGTAAAAAATTTTATTGAAAACATATTCTAACTATTTACAGTACTTGTTTATAAACAACATTTTTCATTTTGTTATCCGGGATATATACGAGGTCTGTTCAAAAAGTATCGGACTTTTATTTTTTCTGCATAAACCAATGATGCACAGGAGGTCTCTTTCGGTGGAGTTGTGGAGGGGACAGTCATGCACAGCCTTGAATTTTTTCCCGCCTGCAGGAAGCGTCAGTTGTTGGCAGTAGGCCTATGAGTGAGGATATGTTGTGAGCTCTCGTCGGATTCCACTAGATTGGAAAATGATTGAACAACGTGAGCAGCGATATTACATCAAATTTTGCCAAAAACCTTGGCGATACCCAAGTGTAAACCATTCACAAGATTCAGCAGGCTTTTGGGGACGATCCTTGAGGCCAAAAAAGCGCGGCAGGTTCGCATCATCATGTTGACAGGTTTTTTTACTCTCGTGGGGTGGTGTATCATGAGTACACACCACAAGGCCAAACCATCGCAAAGGATTACACCAGGAGGTCCTTTGTTGTCTTTCTGATGCTGTGCGATGCAAATGACCGGATCTGCGGTCGATCAAAACTTGGCAGCTCCATTGTGATAAGGCGTCCGCCCATTCTGCGCATCTGATTCGGGCTTTCGTCGCCAAACACAACACTGCTGTGGTTCATCACACTCTGTACTCTCCCCACATGGCTCCGTGTGACTTTTGGCTATTTCCCAAGCTGAAAATGCCACTAAAAGGAACCCGATTTTAGTTGCAATTTCTGTTAAGTTATTTTTCTGCGAAAAATTCATTGAACTTTGGAGACATCATTAATAGAAATAATTTTTATGGCCGTTG